AGAAATTTGAAATTGAATAAATCGAGTTATGTGCGACATATGATGGAAACTTTAATTGCCTAAGTAAGTACATTCAATACCATTACTTTGTGAAAATTACATCATTCAAATGGCCTCCGAGGCTACATTTACAGGGCTCGATCCGAATTTTGTAAAATTCTGCTGCATATCATCAATGGTTTGAATGATGTTGTTCTCCAGTTGGTGAATTGTTGTTGGTTTGTTGCAAAGAGCCAGAGACTTAACGTAACCCCAGAGAAAAAAGTGTAAGGGCGTTAAGTCGCTCGATCTTGACGACCATTCCACATCGCCTCTTCTCGAAATAACGTGTCCTGGAAACCTTTCTTACAACAACTGCAATGTGATGGCCGACGTGTAACAGGTTGCGCCGCCTTGTTGGAACCACATGTCGTTCAGATCCATATCAACCAATTGAGGCCATAAAAAGTCAGTTACCATGGCCCGATACCGTGCGCCGTTGACAGTCAGCGTCTCGCCATTCTCGTTTCGGAAGATGTACGGTGCCAATGACGCCGCCTGACCAAAACCGACGTCAAACAGTAAGTTTTTCCGAATGCAGTGGAGAGTTTTGATACTGTTGTGGATTACTGTTTCCCCAAATGTGACAATTTTATTTATTCACGAAGCCGTTTAACCAAAAATGTGCTTCATCATTGAAAATGATTTTTTGACAAAATCCGGTTCCGCCCCAACTGTTCCAGAGACCAATCAGCGAAAGTACGACGCGCTTGTGATCTTGGGGCTTCAGTTCTTACGTCAACTGGATCTTATACGGATACCTGCCCAAGTCTTTTCGTAAAATTCTCCAAGTCGAGGTCGCAGAAAGGCCAATTGCTTGTGCACGCGGCATCGAAAGGTTTGGGTCTTCAGCTACACTTTCGGCAACAGCAACAATATTCTTGCTTGTCCGCGCGTTTCTGCATCGTACAGGACCTGCTTGATCCGTAACAGAACCGTCTTGCTCAAATTTGGCGATAATTTGTTAAATTGTTCGCTCCGTAGGCCGATTATTTCGGCCGTAAATATTTTGTAGCTCGTTAAAAGTTTGACGAATAGAACACGAATTTTTATAATAGATTTTAACGATTGCGACGCGTTCTTGCACAGTCTAGCGCTCCATGGTGAAATGGCAGAACACAACCAACGAGGAATGATAGCCGTCAGTCCAGGATGTTGCCAAATTTCGGACATAGCTATTGAAAAACCCTTTATGTGAACGGCATGTTAATTTAAATAAATAAATAAATAGCGTGGTTTTTCCCAGCAGCTGTTGCTATTGACGATATGTGTTCGTGCCAGATCAAGTCGTCGGTGATCTGGATTCTGACCAGCCCAAATCACAAATGCTCCAAAACTGAACCTTTACATAAAATTATTTATCCTTCCAATCAATTTTTACCGATATCGAGACACTTTTAAATGTATTACCTAGACTACATAAAAGAAATCGACTCCGCGCCTCTCGACCTAAGAGCTACTGCACAGCTGTTACTCTGCTAGCTGGCTGTTACGATGAGCATCAACAACAGCGTGTGTGCAACTCCCTCTCCCATTGTAGAACACATAACGAGAATGCTCGTCGGCACTAATGTGCTGCCGCTTGCTGCCTATGGGGATATCGAGAGGGCCCGATCTCAGATTTTACACTATTGATTTATTAGGCCATGTCGGTCGCCCTCCCCTCATATATCGAAGAACTTAGTCCTGGGGTATTAAGCATCATATTTGTTATTTTGGGCTTGGAGATTAAAACTGAATAGTGGATTCGGAGTTAATAGAAGGTAGACTCTCAACAATTGCACCAAATTATAAAAGCTTTCGGACAGGTTTGGCATACTCCTGTCCTATGCAAATTTCCTTCCAGAGAGCCTTTGCAGATAGATGATTGGCTTGTTTCTGGTTTGTTGTTGTTTCTATATTAACATTAGTGGCAAAACAAAACCGATTCACAACTTTACAGATGGCGGCGTTTCACATGCTGGCATTCAGGTTCTGTATTTTCATGCTAATTTTACTGCTAAGAATAAATTGACTCTCAAAGGTCTTTTTAATGTCAGGTTTGCTCTTAGTTGGTAGTTAACGTCAATAATCATCTTCATCATTGCCATATAAGACCCAGTTTTTCAAACGCAGGTTGACTGTAACTTTACTGCTAACTGGTAGCTGACTCCTAAAAAGCGTTTTTCAATGTCAGGTTCAGCTTAGAAGTAGTTAACTTTAGCCACATGTTAGGGCGAACTAGAAATTTGTAGTTAAACTGCAATTCCTAACATACCTCTAGACATTCAGAACTCGATAGTTCAGATGATATGATATGAAATTCACTGATAACTCATACTTAACCTATAAGGTCCGGTTTTTTAATCACAAGTCTAACTTCTAACTATAACTTGGAACTTAAGTGTCTGTTGTATAAAAGTTCGTTTTCAAGTTCTGGTTATGTACTCTGTACTTGTTGATGCGGCAATGCTGCTTCTGTATTTAGACTAACGTGTTCTATGTGTTCTGCGCTGCTGGGTGTTTGTGCCTCGTGTCTTCACTGACAACTCACTAAGTGTTAAATCAAAAGGTTAAGCATTGCGATTTAACCATAACTTAGCAGTCAAGCCATGCATGGTCTTCTGGTTAAAGTTGACTACCATTTTAGGACAAAATTGGAAAACATGTTTTGAGCGTTAAGTTTCGCATAGTAGTAAAATTACAGTTAGTACCCTGCGACTGAAAAATCGGGCCTTTGTTCCAGGTACCCAACCTGAAAGCTTTGCGATTGAAGAACTGTATTTAAGGGTTAACCAGGAAGTTGTTTCTATTTTGCTTGATAGTGACGAAAATAAACATGCAGATATAGCTGCGTTGCCATATTAACATTTACAGGTTGTTAATCAGAACTTGAAAAATGAAGTTACGGGACATCTGATAGTTCACTTGCAAGGTATAGTTATTCAACTAAAGGCTTTACCAGCGATTGAAAAACCAAGCCTCAGATTTCTAGACCGATCTCAGTTGTTCTGAAACGAGACTGACAGCGGCTTCCTATTTAGCAATCTTCACCATTGACTGGAAACTCAGTGATTTGGTGCTTATTTTAATTGAAAAACCTGACATTTCAATGTAAAAACAAACTTCTTGAAACTTCCCGTCGTCAGAGTACAATTTAAGTGAGACTAATTTGTCTGGGCTATCGTCTTACAGAGGGGTTAATCGTCCAGGCAAAGTTTTATGATGATATTTAGAATAGATTTGGTAGTTTACATGTACCCCCTAAAATGCTGCCTGACAGCTCATGGTAGGGTGAGAAAATTGAAAATGTAACACATGTTCGTTACTTTTATTTTACTATACGCGTAAAGGGAAAATGGAGAGTTCCGTAGCAGTTTCTAAAATGGGATATTATGTTTTTTTGGGTTATATGACATGTACAATACGAAAAACCATGTCACTCATTTCCGTCGGTCTGTCTGTTGGTCTGTCTGTCTGTCGGTCTGTCTAACCGCTGATACTTAGCCCATCTATAACTTGGAAGGTACTGTTCGCATTCGGATTAAAGCTATACTTAAGGTTGCTACAATGCATGCATAGGTTTTGGAAATCGGTCCAGTGACGGTGGGGAAAAATGCTAAAAACGAAAATAGAAAATGGAAATAGTTATTTGACGATTTTTTGGCTCCTCATAATTTTTGAAAAGTTTTTTGATATGAAAATATTGATGGTTAGTTGGAGGAGGGCGTATCGCAACTGTTTGGCAGCTTATATTACGCATATTTCACACAAATACTACCCCGTAACCCTTAAGTAAGAATGAAAGAAATATTTTCTATACAAGATACACTAGCATCGGCGTGCTCTTTGGCTAACGCTCTTGGGACGAAAAAATTTCAGCTGGGAAGGAGTCGACGATGTCTAGGTGAATCGCGGAATAGGGCAATATGACTGATTAAACATAAGCAATCAGATAGGGTGGTAACATTAGGGTTGTAGTTGTACACGTGTGAAATAACGAATTGTCGTTCATCAGTCTTTTGCGGATTGAAGAATCTTACTTTCTCCTCAAGCAAATAATGTCAGTGCGTACGAAAGTTGTCCTCGATTATTTAAAAAAAATTAATAAGCACAATACCTTCTCTGCAACCATATTCATTACTTGCTTGCTTGCTGCATGACCAGCTGTAAGGGTTTTCATATCCGACCAATTGTAAATCTACTTGAACGTATGAAAATTGATTCAGATACTCTAAATCAGAAGTTCCCAACCAGAGGGGTACCCCTCCCAAGGGGGGCATAGAGAGATGTCAAGGGGGGGGGGGAAGCGTATGCATTTTAGAAAGAAAAAACAAAAAAAATAAACAAACAACATTAACAAATAACATTACAATGTAATGTTTAATTTACACGCATAAAATTAAAAAACAAATATCATATTCACTTATTCTGTCAACCGCTGTTTCAAAACCCGGCGTCGTCAATCGCAGTTTATACACAACATGAAATTCCAAGTGTATTTAAAATTACTATTATAACGTCAACCGGACTACAAAAATATATACTAAGTGAAATATAAATCCGAACACCCAGTTTAACCCTTTCAGCCCCAATGGGACATATAAGTCCCAACGTATGATTTAAAATACCCACAGTGCTTTATATATCCCGTATTACATAGGAATGGTCTTTAATGGGTATTCCGAAGCATATGCAAGGCTCTCACTCGCGGCGGCATGCTTTGTGCTGATCAGTGTACTTGAAAACAACGTAGAAATAGCACGTGCTCGGCTGTTTGTCCTGTTTTTGTACAAATTTCGTCGTTGTTGCCTAGTTATTTTGAAAGATTCTTTCAGGTAAGTTAAGAGTCTATTAGAGCAACATTTCTATATATTTTTGATTATTTATTTTGCATAATTTGATTCAATATTTGTGTCTGGGATGCATGTGTCCCAGTGGGTTTTTTGACTGGGTGATTTATATCCCAATGGGTTTTTTAGCATGTCGAGCAAGAAAAATAAAAAACTGACTGATGCTGAGCTTCAATACTTCGCTGAGAACTTAGACGAAATATCTTCACCAGATGAATTGAGTACTGCCTCTGGGGAGTCATCTTCAGAAGAAGATCCATTTCATAAAAGTGGAGAGTCAGACGAATCGTACAAGCCGTCCTCTAGTTCTGATGAAGATATTCAAAATGACAATAGCGATACTGAAGAAGAAGAAGGAAATATTACTGCGGAAAACTCAGGCGAACAATTTGAAATTCCTGCTATGAATGGCAATGTAATATGGTCTTTACCGACAAAAGATGCTCACATACCACGGTTCAGTATTCCGGATGAAATTCAGTGTGCCGTAGACCCATCGATTACCGCAAATTCTACTCCACTAGAAATATTCAACAAACTTTTTCCGCGTAGTCTGTTTATTTTTATTGCTAAATGTACAAACCAGAGAATTCAAATGTATAATCGCAATAACAAGTCTGCTACCCTTACTGATGCAGGAGAAATTATGATCACTCTCGGTTGCTCATTGGTTATGTGCTACAATAAAGTACCGAATCTTAGGCATTACTGGTCATCTCATCCATCTTTGGGAAACAAAGCGATAAAATCAGCCATATCTAAGAACAGATGTTTGTTTCTTCTTTCTAAGCTTTATTTTAACGACCCCAAAAAGCCAGAAGGTTCTAGTAAAATATATTACGTACAGGAACTCATATCCTGTTTCAAATACACTTTTCAGAAGTATCGATCTGACAGTTCGAGGCAAAGCATAGACGAAAGCATGGTTGGCTTCAAGGGAAGGTCGTCATTGAAGCAGTATATGCCCCAAAAACCAGTAAAGAGAGGCATAAAATTATGGTGTAGATGTGACGCTAAAACAGGATATACATATGACACAAATGTATACTGCGGCAAAGAAGATGTTGAAAGATGCGGAACTCTTGGTGAAACAGTAGTCAAAAAACTATGTGAGACCATAAGAAATCCGAATGTTGTATTGGCATTTGACCGATTTTTTACTTCAGTACATTTGATGGACTACCTTCAGTACCCAGCAGTGGGAACTGCCATACTTACGAGAAAAGATATGCCAAAAAAATTTAAAGAAAAAAGAAAAATGAATAGAGGCGAATGTGAGTTTTTGACGAATCAATCAAGCTCTCTCGCAACCAGATGGCAAGATACGAAAGAAGTCATTGTGCTGAGTAATTGCCATAGTACAGTCATGACAAGTGTAAAGAGAAAAGACAAAAGTGGCAAAAAAGTTGATGTGCCATGCCCTACCGCCATTGCATTTTATAACGAAATAATGGGTGGAGTTGATCTTGCAGATCAAATGAGCGGCGTTTACAATTTGGATCGAAAATCATGTAAATGGTGGAAAAAGGTATTTTATCGATTGCTGATGATTTCTATAGTTAATAGCTGGGTAATATATAACGACTTACGCCGAACCCAAAAGAAAATACCCCTATTGGAATTTCTATTTTCTCTATCAGAAGATCTAATCGAAAAAGGGAAAAAACAAACTTTAGTTAAGCTTCGACGCAACAGTCATGGTAGGCCATCAAAAAGAACCAAAGTTATGAAAAATGTCGGGGATCATTTGCCAGTGGAATCAGCAAAAAGACGACGCTGCGCACGTTGTGCTATACAAAAAAAGGAGCGTAGAACCACTACTATTTGTACAATGTCTAATGTAGGATTATGTAAACATTGTTTTGCCCTTTACCATACTTCTTAAGTAATGAAACCTTTATGCTTTTTGTTTTTTGAAATAAAACTGTAATATCTTTGAAGCGCATAAAACCTGTTTTGTTTTCCCATTGGGACCAATATGTCCCATTTAAAACACCCACTGGGATATATTTGTCCCACCACTAATTTTTTCAAAATTTTGAAAATTTTTATTCCAATTAAAATATTTTCCTATATTACTTGCTAAAAACCCATATTTGTCAAAAATATTCTTAAAGAACAGAAACCAAAAATTGGATCTGAAAGGGTTAAATGGTTTTATTTTAATAAAATTTTGTATAAGTACTTAATGAAGCATAATAAGTAAATGATAAAAATTTCAAAATGATTGCACTGCTTTATAGCCCTTTGACCTTTAATAATGTGTGGATGCACCCTGATGTGCTACGCATTCTCCAACGCGCCTAGGCATGCTTCTGATCAGGTGGTCAATGTCCTCCTGTGGTATCTCATTCCAGGCAACCACCAACTCCTCTCGAAGTGCTTCTAGAGTCGGAGGAGGACGTTGCAAATTGAGCAATCTCCTACCCATCATATCCCACACGTGCTCAATTGGGGATAAGTCGGAAGATCTTGGTGGCGATGGTAACAATGTGACATAATTATGTTGAAAGAAGTCTATTGTGACTCTTGCAACATGTGGGCGGGCATTATCTTGTTGGAAAGTTGGATCTGCCAGGGTGTCAAGATAGGGTAAAAGATGGGGTTCTAGAACTTCGTGAATATAACGCTGCGCGTTCATGTTACCTCTGATGAAGATTAAAGGTGACCTGGAACCATAAGCTATAGCACCCCAAACCATAACTCCAACAGTGTGATGAACATGTCTTTCAACAAAAAACTGTGGATTCCTCCTTTACCACGTCGCCTTCTAACCCTGGCACGACTATCGTGCATGCCTAAACAAAATCGAGACTCGACACTAAAGACAATACTGTTCCATTCCTGATCCCAGAGTGACCGTTGTCTGCACCACTCAATGCGATTACGTCGGTGTTCTCGAGTTAAAGGGAGGACCCAGTGTGGCCGGTATGAAAACAAGCCAAAACTTCTCATTCGTCGGTAAACACTTCGCATGCCAATAGGTCTTCCGTGTTCTGCAAACCATTCATTTGCAATGGACCTGGTAGTGGAGAAACGGTCCCTTAAGGCCAATAATCTTAGGCGGCGATCTTCACGGTCTGTTGTTCTACGGCGGCGTCCAGTGCCCCTTGCTCTTTGTGTACGGCCTTCTCGAAGCCATGCAAGACAACACCTAACCACAGTGTCTACAATTCTTTGCACTCTAACTGCAATTGCCCGAAAAGAACGTCCAGCTTCCCGAAGTCCCACTATACGGCCCCTATCAAACTCACTAAGTTGACGAAATCGTACAGGTCTCCGTACTATAGGCATCGTAACCGATCGTAAAGGATGTCAAGAACCAAAATCCGCCAACGTTGATTCTTTACTGCGGCTGAAATATTCATTTTTAGAGCGTTAGTGAATTAAAAAAAAGCAGTATAAAAACCGGAATGTCCAACTGATAAGGCTGAACATTTTTTCACTTGTTATTTACAGTAAGATAAATACATTCACCAACTTTTATTAAAATAAAACCATTTAAACTGGGTGTTCGGATTTATATGTCACTTATTATAAATCTTCCAGTGGCCAATATACTGTTGAATCCATTACGTTATTAAGATAAAATAATGGGCATGTAATTAGTAATTACATGTAGGTATTTTGCTTATTTATGTATTACCTATTTGTTTTATTGTTATAGGTGCAAAATGCCAGCAAAAAAAGAAAGTTTTCCGAAGATTATGTTAAGTTTGGATTTACCTTCATAGAAAAAAAAAGAGTTACAATTGCCTTAGTGTGTGATATGTATGAAAGTTTTGAGTAATGATAGCATGAGGCCCAATCGCCTTGAAAGGCATTTGAAGCAACAACATCCTACTCTGGTTTTCAAGACGAAAGAGTTTTTTCTTCTAAAGCAGAATCACTCAAGCGGATGAGGCTGGATAAATCGGGAAGTTATCACACAGGGTATCGCAACATCTCAAAGATTCATTGAAATAGATTTTATGAGAGTAACGCAAAAGAAACCTCATACTATAACCATGTGTCCTAAAAGCCACGCAGATAATTTTAGGAGAAGATACAGAACAAAAAATGAAGTCTATTTCTCTTTCGAATAACACATTTAAGCGTAGAATCAATGACATTGCAGCAGACATAAAGTCACAAATAATTAACAAAGTGAAATTATCCCGATTTTTTGCTATTAGTTGCAATGAATCCACCGACATCGTTAATTCTGCACAGTTAATAGTTTATGTTAGTTGCATCGGCGGGGATATCATTCAAGAAGAGATTTTGTACTCCCAATCTCTGATAGCAGGTACTACATGTGAAGATATATTTAATTCAATATCAAATTCTGTTGAGAAAAATGATTTGGATTGGAAGAAACTCATTGGACTTTGCACCGATGGCGCACCTGCATTGATAGGTGTACGATCGGTCTTAGCTAAAAAGCTCAAGGAAAAAAATCCCGCAATGGTTAGTACACATTGTGTTATTCATCGGCAAGCTTTAGCTTCCAAGACATTGCAATAAAAATTACGTCAGACTTCGGACTCGGCTAAAAGGATTGTAAACTACATCAAGAGCAGCGCTTTGAACAGTCGGTTATTTTCTTCACTTTACGAGGATCTCGATTCTGATCACAAAGTTCTTCTGTTCCATACTGAAATACGCTAGCTGCCCAAAGGCAACATGTTGGCTCTCCCTTATGAATTGAAAGGAGCGGTAATTCTTTTTCTTGAGTTCAAAGAAAAACACGACTTCTTGACAATGTTCAAAGATGTCACATTTCAATGGAGGTTGGCTTATTTGACACATATTTGACTCCTTGAATGAGCTAAACTTGAAACTTCAGGGCAGAAACAACACTATTATAAGCAACTATGATTATATTCAGGGGTTCATTTCAAAGCTTCAACTTTGGAATTAAAAAGTGTCTTCTGAAACTGTAATATCTTTTTCTCGTCTGTTCGAAGCAATTAAAAGTAACCTACTGGATCCAAAATTAAAAGCTAACATAAGAACACATTTGCAAGTGCTGGAAGACGAATTTCGCCGATACTATCGAGACATCAATTCATAGTCACCAATATGGCACATGACAAGAGATCCATTTGTTGTCGATGTGTCACAATTACCAGAAGAAGTTGAGGAAGAATTTCTAGAAATGAAGGCTGATTCGTCCATGAAAGTTGACTTCCACCTTTTAACATTGAAGAAATTTTGGATCAAGAGATTGCCTGTTAATTCGACACTTGCCTCTCTTGCTTTACGAATACTAGTTCTTTTTTCTTCAACTTACTTATGTGAGGCAGTCTTTTCTGCTCTAGTTCTAATTAAAACTAAACAGCGAAATCGTCTTGATGTCGATAGCGACCTGATGATAGCTCTGGCAAAAACAGAACCTAGAATCAACCAACTGGTACACAACATCCAATCTCCAGTGTCCCATTAGTACCTACTCTTATTTTATTCAAGTTTTTCGATAAAAAACATTTATTAGTTTATTTGAACTTTTAAAATGTCTTTATTAGAAATAAAATAAAAGTCTATGTTCCTATATAATCTGCGTTTCTTTTGTATTTATTGAAAAAGTAAAGCGGGGCATGAAAATGTCATTTATAGTCCGGGGAGCCTCAACAAAAAAAACGCTTGGGCAACCCTGCTCTAAATCATGCGTATTTAAAGCACACATTTTCAGTATTTGCCAAATCAACAATGATTTTTTCCAGATATTCATTCTACGCTACGGCGTTATGCCATGATACAAGGAGTTTCATAGCCGGCAAACACTATAAATATTAGAGTGTACAAAAAGTTGATTTAGATACTATGTATACGAGTATGATGTATATTGCATATGTACAAAGTATCACATTTTGTTTCAATCAATTTTAATATTTTACCGAATGATGACCTTCAGATGTACTTACTTCATGATAAGTATCTTAAAGATCTGCTTCAGATTTTGATATATACAGGTGTTTCAAATTCGATCCTCACCATTGGGATCTCGGAAACTAAGAAATACGAAGTCGCTTAAATGGGGGCAAAGTTGCGTATTTAGGTAATCAAAAACGCCGCTTAGAAAGTTTCGAAATTCAAAGTACCTACTTCCGGAGAGAGACGGAATATCCGAATTTCCCCTAAATCGTTTTTCCTTTTTCTCCTGACTTTATTGGTAGGGGGATTTCAAAATAAGCTGCACATTAACATTACCTCTTTGTTTCCTCTGATTGCATGTCATACATTGATATCTAAGTTATTCCAGAAAAACAGAATTTCCTAAGTAGACCTTGAAATTATCATATCTCATTTGTTTCGTATTCCAGACCAGACCACAAATTAAACATATCAAGAGAGAAGACTGAGAAGGAGACAAAAAATCAAGAAGTGAACAATATACAGAGAAGTGTCAGGCTTTGCATACAAAATAACTGACATTTTGAACATCAGCTATGATGTACTGCTCTGCTTAATAATGATCATTGTTGTTATTATCATCAATAACATTTTCATTTTATGTTCAGGTTTTACTTCTTATTTCCTCATAATTTTCACCCAACAACAAATTCATGGCCAAATACATCACTGAATTTAGGACCGAAAAGTCCATTTAAATCTAGAAAATTTCAAGTCGAAAGAAGAAACGTCGAATTGAAATTTTGACTATGTC